TGGAGCCACAGGTCCCACCAGTGGAGCAGCTGGGAAATCCACAGAAGCTGGTAGTGCAACAGGCCATGGTGTCAGGAGTTGGGTTGCTTGGAGAAGTTTTTTCGTTTTGGCTATGACTTCCACATTGGGCCTTTTATAAGCCTTGGCTAGCTATTATTTACATAATTTCCAAAGTGTCTTCCTTGTTGGTGTTTAAATAACTTGTTTCTGAGTGATAATTGCCCTGTCCCTGAGTTATTTGTTCAACCTCCAGAAAGCCTTTAAAAGTTGATTGTATTTGGTCCTCAATAGGTTTCTTTACCGTGGTCAAGTAGTCATTAGCATTCATTGAGTACGTAACTCCTAATTTTCCATATTTGTTAAAATTTTCTCATTGCTCTAAGAATAATTGGCTGATGCCTCACCTGTACGGAGTGTCAATATTACGCAATGCTGACCCTAATAATTGAGCTGTTGGGTCTCACATGACAGTTTAATTCTCAGCAATGGGGCCTCCAATGTTGACTGCTGCCCATTCTCTACCTTTCTCACCTTTATTTTGGGAGAAAAGCTAAGTGATTCACCTGGCCAGAAAGGGATGCTTTCATCAGAGGCTGGGAAATATGCATGAATTGTTACTGATAACATTTTTGGAAAACTTATTATATGTCCAAACAGTTCCGAGTACTCTGCTTGCATCAATTCATTTAATTTTCACAGCAACCCTACAGGATAGGTATCATTGCTCCATCATCCATGAGAGGAAACTGAGCCACAGATTTAAGTAATTCACCCAAGTTCATCCTAACAAGTGGTGAATCTGAAATTTGAGCCCTGCCATCTGACTCCAGACTAAACTCTAAACCAGTGCAGTCAATTCCCTAATTTCCATGTAAGCAGGTGTTCTGGGGAAAGTCAGCAGGTGAAAGCAAGTTGTGAAAACTTGCCCCCTTTCTTACAGACTTCCTGAGAGCAAAGGGAAGGAAGGCAGAGCTTAGGGTGAGTAATAACACTGTTTATTAGAGATTTCTCTGGAGATGTTATTTTGTGTTTTTTTTAACTGCCTAGTAAGCATACTTCAAGAATATCTTAAGTGCTGAAAGAGTTAGCCTACTTGATTTGTGACTTCACTTAATCTTTGATTTTTAGGATATTCTGTAGATTTAAATGTTGTTTTCTTAAAATTGAGATATACTTGACATATAACATTGTGTTAGCTTTAGGTATATAACATAATTATTTGATATATGTATATATTGTGAAATGATAACCATAGTAAGCTTAGTGAACATCCGTTACCTCACAGTTACTATTTTTTTCTTGTGATGAGAATAAATGTTCTTAACGACATAAAAAATCACACTCTCAGTATATAAATACGGAGTATGTAGCATACTGAGGTATGTTAGGTCTGCAGTCTGCAGTTTACTGTAGATGTTAGAGACTAATCCAATGAGCGGGAAATTTTATATATTTTGATTGAGTCAACTGAGGGTGAATTTGAAGGTTTTGTTTGGGTGCAATGAAAGGTGAGCTGGCCTCCATGAGGTATGGACTCTGCTACATGGAAATGGAAGTTAAAATGCCACTCACGGAGTCTGAACCAAAACACCCAGTGTCAGTTCTGCTTCTCCAGAAACAACAGCTTTGAATTCGGAGCATAGCTCTTCCCAAGTCAGAATTCAGACATGTTCAAATCCCGCATTACATGTGAATGAAAAGGTTTGGTTCTTTGTGATTTTTTTGCTGCTTCTCCTCAGCAAATCTACATCACAGATTCTTTGATTGGCTAGTTTTTCCACCTTGGATGTTTGAAATTGTGGATTGTTGCTACTACACTCTTAGGAGCTATCTGATTCGTATCTGAGTTCAGCAGAATTGTTGATACTGAAACAATTTATCTCCCTTTCACAAAGTTCAGATGTTTGAGGAGTTGAGATACATATTGATAAGGGCACTGGAGATAGCGTTGCATATCAGATTTTTATTCCTGAGTTTTTCTACTGTAGCACTGTTTTCAACATCTCACTCAGTGCAAAAGTTAACTCAGTTTTCATGTTTCTGGTCTTTAGTGCCTTTAGAGAATTATTAAGAATAAGATGTTTTAGTCAGGGCTCTCCAGAGAAACAGAACCAATAGGGTATAGAAATATATAAAGATATTTATTATGAGGGATTGGCTCACACAGTTATGGAGGCTGAGAAGTCCCACCAGGGGCACTGAAGTCTGAGGGCAGGAGCAGATGGGTGTCTCAGCTTGAGCAAGAGGGCACATTTGCCTTCTGTCTGCCTTTCTTTGTTTTATGATATTCAGCCTCTCAAAGGATTAACTGACGCCTGGCCTCATTGGTGAGGGTGATCCATCTTCTTAACTCAGTCTACAGATCAAATGCAATTCTCTGGATACACCCTCACAGGCACTCCTAGAAATAATGTTTTACCAGCTCTCTCAGTATCCCTTAGCTCAATCAAGTTGACACATAAAATGAATCCTCACATAAGGTCTGATGCTTAAAATTGGAGAATTCTACTCCTCTGCCACAGAATGAAGACCAATCTGAACATTCCCTCACCTCCTCTAAATAAATTTTAAAAATCAAGTTCTTCCCTCCCCACCACTTGATTCCATTTCTTCTTGATTGGTTCTCATACAAATAGAGGAAGGAGTTATAATGAGTTGTGATCAGTGTTGTGCAACCACCAGGCTTTTCTCCAGTCTCAAAATTTTTCATCATCCTACCACTTTTAAGTAGCCACTTCCCTTTCCGCTCTACCTCCAGCTGTCAGCTCACCACTTTGATTTTAAGACCCCAGAGATTTTATCCATTAGAATGGAAGCCCCATTACGTGTCTTTTATTCTATCCTCACTTCATTCTAGAACTCTATCTGGAGAGTAGAATAAGAATGGGGATAGCGTATGCCAACATCATGTTCATTTAAATCCATCCCTGCAACAGACAGACATACATTTATTTATTTATTATTTTAAATTAGTGATTTATTTTTTTCAGTTACATTTGACATTCAGTATTATTTATGTTAGTTTCAGGTGTCCAGCATAGTGATTAGACATTTATATAATTTATGCAGTGATTCCCCTGGATTAGTCCAGTACCCACCTGGCACTATGCATAGTTGTGGCAACATTATTGACTATATTCTCTATGCTGTACTTTATATCCCTGTGACTATTTTGTAACTGCCAATTTGTATTTCTGAATTCCTTCACCTTTTTCACCCAGTTCCCCAATCCTTTGACAACCATCAGTTTGTTCTCTGTATCTATAAATCTAACAGACTTTTTTTTTTAAAGATTTTATTGGGGAATTGGGGGGAGGGGAACAGCATTGGGAATCGGGGAAGGGGAACAGACAGGTAGACAAGTTGTTGTTTTGTTCTTCAGTCTAGTTGTGGAGGATGTTGCTTCACTGGCCCAAGCTGGCACCATTATTGCGCTCTTCCTGGGCGAGGCAGATCAGTTGCCAGTCTCTGGACGGCCGCTCATTGCGGCTGCTGGCCGCTCACGCTGGCTGCTGGCTACACACGGTAGCTTATGGCAGCCCACTGCAGCAGGGGACTGCAGCCTACGCCCATAGCAGCCCAGCTCCAGGTTGAGCTGTTGTTCAGCATCTTAGCTGTGGAGGGCAGTGTCACTGGCCCTCATATGTGGGATCCGAACCGGGGCCCTCTGGCTTCCCAAGCCAGTTCTTAACCAATGCGCCACTCGGCCGGCCCGACATTTATTTTTATTTATTGATTTTTTTTACTTCACAACACATGAGAGAATTGTATAGGTGTAAAAACATGAGCTGCAACTCCCTGCAGTAATTTTCTAAAGTACATTTTGAGGAACACTGGTGTTACAGGATGTCAGTTGGTGATAAGTGGATAGAGGATCCCCTGATTGAGTCAGTTTGGGAGTGATGGTTATGGAGGTTCCTTTTTAACCAGACATCTCAGTCCCTTTAATATTCTAATGTGCTTTTTATATAAACCTTCAAGATGGTGGTAACACATAGAATGATATTTGACCACTGAATATTTTTTCTTCTTTGAACATCTGAAGGGACTAATTGTCAGTGTGTCACCTGTTTAGGAAATGGCTGACTACCCTATGCCTGGAAGGGATATTATAAATAGTAAAACTCTATTCTCTCATTTTCCAGGTTAGGAATAAGTGCTCAGGCAGGTGAAGGGATTGCTTAAGAATTTGTGGATTGTTAGTTGCGGGCTAGGGTCTGGAACGCAGGATGCCTTTCTATCTTATGTATTATTGTAAAATCTGTGTTTACTGCTTTTCCAACTATGCATTACCCTTTTTATACCCTTGATGATTGAAAGAATTGTATGTAAATGAATCATATATGAATGAAATGAATGGATTTGGCAACATTCTCCGAAGCTAAATGACATAAAATTCCTTTTTGTAAAACTGATCGTCTGAAACACCTAGCCCATCAATTGCATATTTGAGGACCTTGGGAAATAGCTCATAAATACTGATGTATTCTTTGAATCATACATTTTGGCTGTAGAATATTGGATCATTTAGTGCTAAAACAAAGGAAAGCCATCTATTAATTGCCATTTTTGAAGGCACAGTAATATAGAAAAACCATAGGGCCATGCCACATTTATTGAGATTTTGAAAAACCCCAGTACCCCAATATCAATAACAAGTTCCAAAGAAATGAAATCGCCAACAATGATGTCATCAGTGAACAGTGAAAATTTTAATTAAATCCCAAACTCAAGGAGCTGTTGAAATATTTCAGATGATATTTATGGTAATGTATTCTACACCCCTTTCACATTGTAGGACTTCTGTTGATATCCGAGTCTATGCAACATTTTTGTTCTTCTATTATAAATTAATTTACATCTTAGGGAAATTATGTAGCCATGTGACAAGGGGTTGCAAGCTGGGTTATGGTTATATTGGAACTCAGAAGATTGTTGGGACTCTATATTGGTGAGTTTCAATGCGCAATTTTCTCAGGATTCCCTTCAGAAGTAGGTTTTCAACAGGTGGGCTGGCAGCAGGTGGGCTCATAGCAGGTGGGTTGGCAGCAGTAGCAGCAGCAGGCTGGGCGGCAGCAGGACTGTCCACAGTAGGATGGGCGGCAGCAGGAGTCCTGGGCATGGTGCAGCTGGCAGCAGGTTGGGGGGATGCAGCTCACCACACAGCAGGGGGGCAGGCAGGTGTCCTCCACGCGGCAGTCAGGGCGGCACCACCTGGTTCTGCAGCTCATAGCACCACAGCAACCCCCCTGGCCACAGCCGATGCCACAGCCGGTCCCGCAGCAGGTTGGCTGGCAGCAGCTGGTCTGGCAACAGGTTGGCTGGCAGCAGCTGGTCTGGCAGCAGGTTGGCTGGCAGCAGCTGGTTTGGCAGCAGCTTGGCTGGCAGCAGCTGGAGCCACAGGTCCCACCGGTGGAGCAGCTGGGAAATCCACAGAAGCTGGTGGTGCAGGAGGCCATGGTGTCAGGAGTTAGGTTGAGAGCTGGGTCGGTTGGAGAAGTTTCTGAGTTAGGGCTGCTTGTTCCACTCAGGCCTTTTATAGGCCGTGGCCAGTTCCTGTGTTTGTGACGAACAACGTTTTTATATTGTCACTCCTTAAACAAGCTTTCCCAGGGCCTTCTGATTGCTCAAATACTGAGTTATTTTAAATGCTACATCTCCCAATTGAGTTTCCCTATTGCTCAGCTAGTACTCACCGAGTGTGTTTGGTAGTCCTGGGCAGAGTGTTTTTATCTTGTTTCCAAACAATGCTGTCATTTTCACCTGACAAAGTGACTCTCACTCATGAGACGATGTGATTTTGGGGTCATACTCGCCAAAACTCAAGTCTCAAAAAAAAAAAATTAACCATTCATTGTCCTTCATGTAAGGCTATCTTTATATTTTTTAGATAAATAAGATTATAGTCTCTGTAATCCCAGATAGAATCTCTGATAAAGTCCACATTCATAGGAATTCATAGATCTTTCCCGAAGTTGGATCTCTCCAATTTCTATACTCTCTCCTGAACTTCCCATATTCAGCCTTGAGGGAACATTTATCACACAAATAGATATGCAGCAAAACCTGTTCCATTCCAATTTACTGTGGATATTTTGTTAGCATAAATTTAAAGTTAGGGCCAAAATTCATATCCAGTAATTAGGGAAATGATCACAAAAAAATTTAAGTATAATTTATATCTATGACACATGAAAATCACTACTATATGAATTATCTGGGCAGTATGTATTTCTCAAAGGTGGGATTCATTTCAGTTTACATCATTGTATGTAACTACACCTTGTATCTTATGAAAGGATGTCAGACCAAAGAGCACAACAGTTGAATTTATAAAGGGGAACCAGTAAAAGCAAAAGCAGGAATCAGGGAATACTTTTTCTGGTCACAGTTCTTATGAGGCAGGTTAGGAAATGGATGATCAAATATTGTTCAATAAGTATAAATGCAGACAGATTAAAATAAGTTTCAGCACAATAAAAATGGAAACGATTCCTGGTGGTTGCTAAAAGAAAAAATGTGATTTTTCCATTGGAAGTTGATGGTTACATGGGGGCAAATGAAAAACATAGTTGCGGCCAAAAGAATATTATTGCTACTCGTGGTAGGCTTATTCCTCACTTCTGATCATGAAGCACATAGTTAGCTTTTATGAGTTAGAAGTGCTGGTTTGTACAATAATAGAATTAAAATGGAGCCATGCCAGTGTCAATACAGCTGTTCATGTCATATGATAACCATGACTCTAGGTATGAAGTTGAAAAATGGATAGATGGGATCATCACATATTGGATTTCAAAACCTTAATAAATCACCCTGTCCAACCATTTACTTTTATAGGTGTAGAAACTGACATCATTCTTTTTATAAACAGCACGTGTTTATTAAATCCCATTATGCGTGAAGCACTAAAGGGTTATGCAGAAAGCAAGACCTCATCTGTCTGCCTCATAGCTTGCTCTAGTGTACACATCAGTGTAGTATTGACTCCAGGAAAGAGTCAAATATAGACCCATTCAACCTCAGAGTTCTAAATTGGAACACTGATGTTGTGTAAACTACTTTTAATTTCCTCTCAGCATCAGTTGGTGTTAGAGTACTATTGAGTGTAACTAAGAATGGCTGCATTTTGGAGATGTTAGTGACTTGATCTGTTCACACAGCCAGTACACAGCCGGAAGAGCTGGGTATCAAACTCCTTCCCTTTATTCCTAGATCAGTTTATTTTTTTTTATTCCATGCTGCTTTCCAAGATCAATGAGAGGTAGTAAAATTCTTTGTCTCCTATTTTTAAAAAGTATTTTATAGTAACTATAGAAATATTAGTGGCAGGCAGAATACATTACGGAATAGTGATTTTAAACACACAGTAAATAAGCATAAATATGTTAAAATTCTTTCAAGTGTCTTCTAACCAGACGAGTGTCCCCTGGAACTTCAGTAAGTCACATTTGCTTCCTAATGGTTCCTCCCATTCAGTTTGGTTAAATTCCCTTCAGGGTTTCTATGTCTGCCATGTTCTTTGTGTCTTCTTTATGCCATGGCCATCATCTTAGTTCAGCTCTTATTGTGTATCACTTGGACCAGGGCAATGGCCTCTTGATTTGTTTCTGTATAGTCATTGTATGTCCAGCTTTTGGCCTTCTGTTTTTATAAGCAGTGACCATAGGAATCAACGCAATGCCCACCCAACTCCTGTCATGCCGTTCCCCTGCCCCAAGGCTTTCAACAGATTCTTAGTGCTTATTACTTTAAGGGCTTACTCATTTGGTTAATATTCAAAGCACAGAAATTTCCCAAATTTACCTTGCACTATTACTCTACGTATCTCTAGTGATCCCAGCTAACTATCCTCTAGACAATGCCGGTTATACTTTTGTGCATACTGTTTCCGATGTTGAGAACGCCATCTTCTGTCAGATCTACACCGCGAAATCTTAATCCTTTGATAAAATGTTAGCTTCTCCTTCCATCTTTCCTGTTCTCCCCATATAAAGTCTCCAATAATGACTTCTCTGTTGATACCACACAGAGTGTTGTACTTTTACTTTTCTACATTCCACATTCCAGTGGTTAGTTGAGTTGTGAATTTGATGCATCTCCCTGAAAGTTTCTTGAAGGTGGGAACATTTTTAAACCCAATTTTATTTTTTATTGTATACTGTACTGTTGGTAACTTGCAGAGGGTAGGCAATCAGCATATTTTTGTTATATTAAAATTTAATGAAAATAATTAGAATGAATAAGTAAAACCAAAGCTGTGTTTGCTAGGCCAAAGAAGAGAAGTTTATTAGAAAACAAACATACCAGAATACTTAAGATCTAAGAGGGGATGAAACATGTTACTATTACAAAGATTTGAGAACAGCCCAAGTCTTAATAGATGGGTCTGGATCTCCATACAACCCCTAGTTGACCTGGGGTCTTGATGGCTCAGGGCAGAAGGTTTGTTGGGTAGAGAAATGGGAGTGTGACTTTTTCAGAAGGTTATTTGCCCTAGGCAGTCAGTATATGGCTCAGCAGCAGCAGGGGTAGGTCCTGCAGGTGGTGCGGCAGGGGGCAGGCTGGCAGCAGGGGGGCCGGCAGCAGGGGGCCTGCACACAGATGGGCTGGCAGCAGGTGGAGGCCCAGCAGCAGGGCCGGCAGACCACGGCCGTGCAGGACGTGGGGCAGCAGGCGATGGGGCGGCAGCAGCCCGCCTGCAGGCCACAAGGGTCACAGCAGATGGGCCGGCGGCAGGGCTCGCAGATGGGGCGCGTGCAGCGGGTCACGCAGGTCACGGGGCGGCACACTGTGGTCTGGCAGCAGCAGGGGCGGCAGCAGCAGGGGTCGCGGCAGCAGCAGGGCTGGCAGCAGCAGGGCTGGCAGCAGCCTCCCCCACAGCCTGAGGAGCACGTGGAGCCGCAGCAGGAGCCGGTCATGGTGGTGTCTAGGGTTGGGCGGGGCTGGTGAGAGGAGTTGGGTGTTCTCAGGTGTGACTGTCTTCCTCCCCTTCGGGGCCCTTTATATACCCTGGACTGGTGCTGATGACCCCTCTTGTTTGTCTTTTGGCCAATTAAGTAGAATTATATTTTCACTAATGGTTGCATAGCTCATGACATACTCATGATCTCGTTAAGGAACTCTTGTTGCATCCCTAAATATGAGTATATTCATGCTGTTCATCATCAAAATCTAAGCACTCACAGGCGTTTAAGTGATAGCACTTCTTGATGCTCGTTTTGAGTAGATAGCACCTGATAAATACTGGGCAAAACAGTTCTAAAGCAACTGTAACTTTTTAAAAGAAATCAAATGTAATTAGGGATTCTAGAGCAATAACTAGATCCTATCTTTGACCCCAAGAGATCCTCTGAAAAGCCTACATGTCAATCAGACGGGTAGTAGACACATCCTTTGGTGTGGATTCCTTGGGACTACACATCACTTGATATAATGAAATGTATATGCTTTGTGTAGAACTGCAGCTCTTATATGGGAAAGGCCAAGGTTTATTTTTGTAAACCAGGTTAAGTGTCGAATAAAACATCCAAGCCTGCCATCCATGGTTCTTTTCTTTTTTCCAGTTCAGGTTGTGCAATGCTCTGGCCCTTCTGGTGACAGAATGTTGATCGTCTTCTCTGAGACATTTTTTATATTTGCCTTTCTTGTGTGTGTGATAAATAATCACATAATTAAGACAGAGAAGTTCTTTCTTAATTTACCTTGACGTGGTGCTATGACTAAGAAGTGTCAAGATGGAGGTTTTCCCCCAACACATTGTAAAGATACACAGTGCCTTGTTCAGAGACAGTTGGGAGGCCACCCAGCTGTCTGGGATGGCACTGCTGGAAGTGTGATGGGGAGGCTTCTTCCGGAAGCATCACCAGAGGCAGTTGAGGAATGGTATGGGAGACACAGTCTCATGAGTTTTCAGCTTTACCCCTCCTATTATTCACCAGACAGGACTGGGGATCACTTTAGGATCATTCCCATCATTCAGAAGAATGTGCCTTGGGCTCGAGCAGCTAGAACTCCCTAAGTGGAATCTCAAACATGATTTCAAAACTTTAAAAGGAATGTAAATTGACTGGACACATAGTCACAACTGGGGACATAGAAGAGGGAGAAATCAAGCCGCCTCATTGATGACCTTCAACTCTCATATTTCATGTTTTTTTCTCTTGTCCACGGACACACGTGACCTTTTCAAAGCAATCACCAGATCCTAGATACAAACTTGTATGTTCTGCGTTTTCTTTTTTCCCCCTAACTTTATTGAGATATAATTGATGCATACATTGTCTAGGTAAGGTGTATGTTGTGATGATTTGACACATGTATATATTGCAAACTGTTCATCACAACAAAGTTAGTCAACATATCCTACACCTCACATAATTATTTTGCTGTTGTTGTTATGATGAGAACATTAAAGCTCTACTTCCATAACAACCTTCAAATATGCAATATAGTATTGTTAACTCTAGCCACCATGCTGTACATTAGATTCCTGGAACTTACTCATAAGTATAAGCTTATGTCCTTTGACCAACATCTTCCCATCTCCCCTACACATCAGCTGCTGCCAACCACCTTTCTGTTCTCTGTTTCTATGAGTTGGAAATTTTTTCTTTCTTTATTATTTTTTTAAATTAAAGTTTATTGGGGTGACAATTGTTAGCAAAGTTACATACCGTAGATTTCAGGTGTACAATTCTGTAATACATCATCTATAGATCACATCATGTGTTCACCACCCAGAGTCAGTTCTCCTTCCATCACCATATATTTGATCCCCTTTACCCTCATCTACCACTCCCCTGCCCCCTTACCCTTTGATTCCACATATAAATGAGATAATATTAATATAATATTTATTTGTCTTTCTCTGGCTGACTTATTTCACTTAGCATAATGCCTTCAAGTCCATCGATGTCACAAATGGCAGAATTTCCTTTTTATGGCTTAATAATATTCCATTGTATATACGCATATGTATAGATGGATAGAGAGCCCACATTTTCTTCATCCATGCATCTGTAATTGGACATTTAGGTTGTCTCAATGTCTTGGCTGTTGTGAATAATGCTGCAATGAACATATGAGTGCAGAAATCTCTGTGAGATGGTGATTTCATGCCCTTTGGAGATACACCCAGAAGTGGGATTGATGGATCATATGGTAGTTCTATTTTTAAGGAGTCTTCATACTCTTTTCCGTAGTGGCTGTACTAACTTACACTCTCACCAACAGCGCACCAAGATTTCCTTGTCTCCACATCCTCGCCGGCATTTGTTATTTTTTGTCTTTTTTTTTGTAATAGGTATGAGATGATATCACCTTGTAGTTTTGATTTGCATTTTCCCGTTGATTAGTGATGTTGAGCACCTTTTCATGTACTTGTTGACCATCTGTATGTCTTCTTTGGAAAAGTATCTATTCAAGTCCACTGCTTATTTTTGAATTGGACTGGTTTCTCTTTTTTTGCCGTTGATTTGTAGGAATTCCTTATATGGTTTGCCAATATTTTCTCCCATCCAGTAGGTCGCCTCTTCATTTTGTTGATTGTTTCTTTTACTGTGCAGAAACTTTTTAGTTTCATGATTTTTGCTTTGCTTTGCTCTTTCCAAGGCACATTTTT